CCCATGCGTGTTTACAGATTTGAGATCTATCAAATTCCCTATTTTTAATATAAGATTGATGTTCACTTATTCTAACATTTAATGGCCTTAATGATTCACCTAAATAAAACTGATCGCATTCACAAGGTATTTTATAAATGCAATTCTTTGTCCTTTCTTGTTCATTGTTAGGTTTGGTTTTGGACAAAATAGATCTCAACGTGTTTGTCTCAACAATGCCACAAGAAAATAGCTTCAGAACAATATTAATCTCATTGATGCTCTGACAGAACGGTACAGAAACTTTACCTCTAAAACTAAATAAGGAAATGAAATATAGGAAGGCTTTCTAGTCCTTAAAATACTCAGATATAGATGCTGTATATCTCCTGTTTTATTTAATACATACATTAATGAGATCTTGAGACCGTTGAAACAGAAATGTAAGAGAATGGGACTATGAATAGGCGATACTCATTACGTCGATGATCAAATAGTTATTGCACAGGACAAGAAAGATGTAAAATATATCAATATATGTCAAGGAAATTTGTGGAAAAATATATAAAGTGAGGTGTGGAGATCAACGCGAAAAATACCTGGTACGTATGCATAGGAAAGGTAAAAGCTACGGAAAAACTAAACTTGTATTAGGAAAATGTTAAAAGTTGCAAGGAATATATACCTATAATTAGGAATAAAGTAAATTATATAAGACCGGATACTTAAAGGGAGATAAGTGATAGGAGCCCTAAATTCGGTGTAATGGCAATAAAATAAGAAAAGATAAAAAGAGAAGAATCTACAATACAATATTAAAAACATATGGGGCAGAAGTATGCCAATTAACCAAAAAATATAACGCGAAAGTTCCAACTACGGAAATGTACTTTTGGAGGAGAGCTCCAAAAAGATCTTGGTTAGAACATATAAGAACTGAAAATATTAGGAGACAAATGATAGTATAAAGGAATATAATGGAAGATATTAAAAAACAGCGAGTGTATGGTATGGATACGCCAGAAGAATGAAAGAATGCAGATTCCCCAAAAAAATATTAGACTGGACTCCCACATAGAAACGGAAACGAGAAAGACTGGCAACAACATGGATAAAGGGCATCGCCAAGGCAATTTTTGAAAGAAATCTTAGGGAAGAAGTCTGCCAAAATAGAAGGGAGTGGCGATAGGCGTATTACGCTATGAAAATCATGTTAATATATAATACTTACTTGTCTTAGGCACAGAGAATAATGGATAGATCAATATTGAATATACCCCTCAGAGTTTCAAATTAAATAGTTAGGAGAAAAACTGGTATTACGGACGTAGTTAAAAGAATCACAACGCAGAAATAAAACTGGGCAGTTCATTTTGCCAGGGTCAGAGATGGAAGATGGATCATAAAAATTTTAGAATGGAGTACTAGACATGATGCTTATCGTAATCGAAGACGTCCTCCAACAAGGTGGTCAGACGACATCAACTGTTCAAGATCGTATGGAACGAAATTGTTTACTAAAGGCCTATGTTCAGCAGTGTAAAGACTAATGATGATGATGATGATGACTTATCTTATAGCTAATGTTCACGTAAAAGTTGTGGATAGATTCTATCACCGAAACTTATTGATTAAAGCACCCAAGGTTTCTCTCACATACTTGAATTAAAGCTGTGATTTGTATATGATGGAATACGATTTTTTGGTGGTCATAAATTGGTCAAAAAGCTTTTTTGAAAACTGGTGAGTTTTCTTATTTTAAGTAAATACTTATCGTTTGGCTTTAACATAAACTCTAAGCAATAAAATATATCACGTTTTATAATTTTATCATTAAATGAGGTTGACGAGGTATCACAAAATGAAAAATATAATAAGTAAAGTAACAATATATCCAATAGATAAAGATTTCTTCGTGACATTAACTAAAAAACTGAACACGTACATTTATCATTTTAAACCAAACGACCGGTATTTCATCGAAGTTTTATGATGAAAATCAATTCGGTCACATTTTTAATACTAGAAAGTTTGTAGTTGCGGTAGACACTTACAAAGGTGTTAAAGATTATAATTTTTTAAAAGCAATTTTCAAAATCACACCGTTATAACGCGATTCCCTGGGATTTCCTAATTTAAAAAACGTTGTGGGTGTTTTGTAGTTCGTTACGGGAAATTTTTACTGGATTAAAAGTTTAATTGATTCATCTTTAAGTTTAATAAAATTATCTAAAAAGAAAGCAAATAAAACCTATTTAAAAACTATTTGAAATTTTCCTATCATATAACAAACTAAGTTCTTCTTCTCTCTAAGTTCTAAAACTATTTTTATTGGATATATTCAATGACATAATTATCAATAATTCCGTTATTCATGAATTTAAAGATGTAATTATTATTCCTATTCTCAAACCAGGTAAAAATCCCAATTTATCAGAGTCATACAGCATACAGAGATTAAATTTCCTTAAAGCAATTTCAAAATCTTGGTGGAAAGCCGAAGTAGAAACTGCGTTACTTTTTTATCGATCGTACATAAGTTCAATCATAGACTATGGATGTGTTTTATTTGGTTCAGCAGCTAAGTATATCTTGAGGAAAATAGACGTGTTTTAAAATACAATATTATGTATTTGCCTAGGTACTATGAAATCAACCAATTCGTTAGATGTTGAAGCACTGGAATTTCCACTCAAATATAGAAGAAAATATCTTCGTCAAAAATTTCTGATTAATATTCGTCATAGAAACCTTTCTCTTTACTGCAGTATTATTAAACTTAATAATGCAGATTTAACAAATAAATATTGGATCCACAAAAACTCTCCTCCAATTTGTGACGCTTTTAGAAATCTCTCAAATTACGATAACACGAATTCATACACATATGATAATTCAAACTTATGTATTTTATGCTTTTTTGTAAACTATCGGTAATTAAACCAAGGTATCATGGAAATACTGCAATCAGCTACAATATTTTTAGGAATGTATTAGAATACTGGTCAGCATCAACAGTTATTTATACAGACGCATCAAAGTCTTTGGATGCGCTTTTTATATTCCTTCAAAAAATATAGAAAACATCTTTACTTTAGATCATAATTTTTTAATTTTTACTGCTGAAGCCATAGCAATTTATGAAGCATTAAAGTGTTTTAAGAAATCCAATGGCAATTTCGCAATAATTGCATCTGATTCTTTGTCGGTTCTTATAGCCATTGATACTATATCTTTTCCTACATAAGTACAAATATTTACATCCTTTTAATCAACAAAATTATTTTTCATCAACATCAGGAACAAAGAACAGTTAGATTTTTGTTGATTAAAGCTCACATAGAGCTTGAGCATAATGAGTATGTAGATATATTAGCTAAGAAAGTCATTGATTCTGGTGCGAAAACAGATTATAAGCTTTGCATACCAGATGTATTTGTAACAATCAAGAATATTGCAAACCATCAGTGGAAACAAGAATATTATGATTATAGTTAACACTCTAACTCACAATATTCACTCATACAACCCTCAATCCCGAGTGAATTTTGGTTTAAAATTTAGTATCTTCCACGTAGATACATTACATCTATTATCAGAATGAAATCAGGACACTCATGTTTTCCGGCTCATCTGGCAAAACTTAAAATTGTAAATTCCGATTGATGTGAAGTTTGTCAAAAAGAAGCAGATTTAAAGCACGTTTTCTTTGAATGTACAAAAAATATATACAACAAACTGACGGCACCTTTTGTCATTAAATAACAAAATTGTATATAACTACTTAACAAAATTTATTTCGAAAAGTAATCTCAATTTGTAAGCCCAGTTAAAATAGTAACCTTTTTTAAACAAACATGTTACTAAAATAGTAACATGTTTGTTTCTTTACTGATAACCAAATATGAATTGTGATAATTATTTTCTCTTCTTTCCTATGGGAAGAACTAAAAAAGTTGTGACTGGCTGAATGGCAAATGCCTATGCCAAAAAAAACTACGAAAACTAAATTCTTCTTCATCTTACGAAATCACTTGTTCATATTCATTCGTTATAATTCACAAATGACTTGACTAGCCTATTAAAAATATATTGCATATCTTGTTATCAACATCGTGATTATAATTACAAATATCTTTGCATTTATTTCTCTACATCAACCTCGCGTAAAAATCTCTAAACCATCCACTCAAAGTGCATTGGCACGCGCCCCGAAAACCCCGACCAGCTGTGTTTTGGGAAAGACCGTTACGATACGCACAGACATACAGCGTTGGACAAGGACAAAGCGAGACGACGCGTACGGGACGGAAAGAGAACGGTGTAATAGAAGGGCACAGGACAAGGGCACCCTCCAGATGGGGCGGCAGCTATTCCCTCGACCCCTCGGTGCCTTGTTGGATGGCAGCCACCTTCCACATACACCTGGCCCTACGAAGGGCCATACCGCACCGTTTTTGTGCGTGAAGGAACATGTGCAGATATGTCAGGATAGAGGGGGGCTGTAAAGGACGAAAATAAGTTGATTTTCGATCTATTACGTAGTAAATTATTACTTTTGTAAGGAGCAATAAAAATTTGCAAAAAAAGAATAAAACATGGGCGTCATTTTCAGAAAACTACATGCAGTATTGAAATTCTCTTGTATTTTTAGTATCTATTTTATGAATGTTACTGCAGAGAAACTGAACATACAATAACATTGAACGTCAATATTGACAGAAACTTAAAAAGTAAATAATGACTTCCACAATTATAACGATTTGGGTTAACAATATAATCTTAGTTTTCATCAATATTGGCAAATTTACCTATGGTAGACTTCAGATGACGAAGACGTGAGAATAATTGCCAATCTATACCGATATCAGAAAGGCATAATAAGAATAGACCAACAAAAATCGAAAAAAATACATATAAATCGTGGAGCAAGAAAAGGATGTATGCTTTCCCCTTTACTTTTTAGAGAAGGGCTACAGATCTTGGTTGATCGCATTACCCAATACTGCGAAAGGTATGGAATGGCACTGAATACAAATAAAACAAAAATCATGGTGGTAAGCAAGAACAAGATTGAGGAAGACAGTATTTATGCTAAAGGAAAACTTTTAGGCAGTGTGCACAGATATTCAAAGTTCAAAGTTATAAAAACATGGTTGCAAATAAATAAACTCACAATAAATTACGAAAAAACTAAATATATACCTTTTGCAATATATAAAAATTCTCTGCCAACTTTTAACTCATTAAAAATAAATAAAAAACAACAAATATTTAAAGCAGAATACATAAAATATTTAGGAGTTTTAATTGACAGGTACCTTAAATGGGACTTACAAATAAAAAATATTATAAGAAAAATAAGAGGACTGTTACCAAAATTCCGCTATTTAAAAGAGTTTTTAGATGTTGAACAGCTTAAAATGCTTTACCTGTCTTTAGTACAATCTCATCTTGTATATGGGATTTTAGGATGGGGTGGCGTAGCTGATTGCCATCTGGTGACCCTTCAAAATACTCAGAAATGGTTTCTTAAACTAATATGTGGAAAACGAAAAACATATCCCTCAGACCAACTTTTTCATGAAACTCAGTGTTAGAGACTGCGAACATCGGCAACGCAGCTTTCCAACCCGATGTGCCGAGGTAGCGACTTCAATTCGAGAGGCGAAGAGAGCTTCACCGACCGCCGTGGTGTGAAGACACATTCAATTCACATTGTAAAATTCAAAATAAATAAACCTTATACGAAAGCGTAAATGCGTTTTAATTCGACCAAATGAGAAAATATACAGTCCACTTATTCATATACATATAATGGTCCTTCGAGCCGGATAACAGTGATCGGCTTAAATAAACAATAAACGTTAAATTCGAAGTGATTTCATACGCGAAAACAGACAGTTCCAGTTCCAATATTCTTAAGTGCACGCGTACCTACGACGAGCAGATCATCCAAAAACCAAGCCACGCTGTGACGTGTACCTGACTCCAGAATTCTGCCAGCGGCGTTGCCTACAATTCAAACAGTGAGTACGAAAATCCTTTCTTTACCGAATTTATTCCTCCAAAAAATAAAATTATTTCTGTTTGTGTGAATACTGTTTTGATTTATTCTTCGAAAGAATTTATACGAATTTATTTCTCGGTCCTTAATTTGTAGTAATTTAATAATAATTTTATTATAACTTAAATAAATATGAATACTGAAGAGAAATTAAAAATTGTAAAACGAAAACGGGGTGCAGTAAAGGCCAAATTAACCCATTTTAAAAACTTTTTAAATGATTTGGAAACGGAAACAGGCTCTGAAATTCATATTTTAGAGGACGCAATTCATAATTTAAATTTACGTATCGAAGAAGCGAATAAAATAATACAAAATTACGAGGAATCGCAGTTAGAGTTAGAGGATTTAGTTGATGAGGACGAGTTAGAAAGTTGTTATACCGAACGCGAGGAATTTACGAAATCTTTTTATTGCGAATTGGCCCGAAGTAAGCGATTACAATCTAAACTTTCTCGGCATAGTACAGATTTATCAAACAACAGTTCATACTCGGAAAATGCATCGGGTAGTCAAGTAAACGATTTTAATGGGTTTCGTCTTCCGCCAGTTGAGGTACCGAAATTTAGTGGTAATCATGAAGATTGGTTGGAATTTCACGAGACTTTTAGCTCATTAATACATACAAACAGTGCACTACGGAATTTTCAAAAGTTTCATTATCTTAAATCTTCACTTTCAGCTTGCGCGTCCGAGGTAATAGCATCAATTGAATTTAGCGAGGCAAATTACATTGTAGCGTGGAATTTGCTTTGTGAGCGATATAATAATGAAAGACTTCTTGTTCATAATCATGTAAAAGCATTATTTAATTTAGATATTAAAACATGTGAGTCTTCAAAAATATTACGGTTTTTGATAGATTCTATTTCAAAACACTTAAAAGCATTAAAGCAATTAAACCAACCCACCGAGCATTGGGATACTTTAATAATTTACGTAGTAACTTCTAAGTTTGATAATAAAACAGCGCGAGAATGGGAAGAATTTAGGTCGAAAATACAATATCCAACAGTGCGAGATTTAAAGACATTTTTAAAATCAAAGGCTGATTTGCTGGAAACAATAGAATCTAAACGCGATACATCTTCAGGAAATACTTCTTCTTTTCATAAAAAACAATCCAGAATATCTCAATCGTTTGTCAATACGGAAAATGTTTCTTCAAGGAACAATAATACAGCTGATCGTTCGGGAAATAACATGACTTGTGCTTTCTGCAAACAAAATCATTATATTCGAAACTGTGCAGAATTTCTTAAACTTTCCCCAGCAGAAAGAAATACGCATGCGAAAAGACTTAGATTATGTATAAATTGTTTACGACCTGGTCACATAAATACGGTTTGCAGACTAAGCAACTGCAGAAAATGTAACGGTAGACACAATACGATATTACATATACAAAATAACGAATACAATAGACGCGAAAATAATACAACGGAGAACTCAAATGTATCTCTAACTTGTTCAAATATTTCTCAGGAAAACGTTTTACTTGCCACAGCTTTGGTACAAGTAATTGATAAATTCAATAAATCTCACACCGTACGCGCGTTGCTAGATTCAGGTTCCCAATCTAGTTTTATTTCATCAAATTTATGCGATATACTTAATCTCGAAACAGAAAATATCAATATGGCCGTGGTAGGTCTTAATAGTAGCAAATCCCAGATTAACAAAAAATGCGAAATTTCTGTGGAGTCGCTACATAGTGCATATTCTGTAAAATTATCATGTCTTATTATAAACGAAATTACTGGAATCCAACCAACTACTGTTGTTAATATCAACAGGTTAAATATTCCAAAAAATATAATCCTTGCTGATCCAGATTTCTACAAACCAGGTCACATAGACTTACTAATTGGAGCAAATTTATTTTGGAAACTGATGCAAATTGGACAAATACGTCTAGGATCAGATCAGCCAGTATTACAAAAAACTTCTTTTGGATGGATAATTTCTGGAAACATTACAGAAAATACGAATGTATCTCACTGCAATCTGTCTTTAAATGGTGAGATTCAAAAGCAACTAGAGAAATTCTGGTTATTAGAAGAATGCGGTGTAAAACCGGCAATATCCGAAGAAGAAGCGTCATGCGAACAACATTTTATTGAAAATACGAAACGCGATATAGAAACGGGTAGATTTGTAGTATCTATTCCGTTTAAAACGAGTACAGATGAATTAGGCGATTCGGAAGAACAAGCGCGAAGGCGATTTTTATCATTAGAACGAAAACTTAAGCATAATTCAGATTTACGTGAAAAATATGTTGATTTTATGAATGAATACAAAGCGTTAGGTCATATGACCAAAGTAAATAAATTAAATACAAATGCGATTTACTATTACTTGCCACACCATGGAGTACTTCGAGAGGAATCTGTTACTACAAAGCTTCGCGTTGTCTTCGATGCTTCCGCTGCCACATCCACAGGTTTATCACTTAATGACCTACAAATGGTAGGCCCAACAATACAAAGTAGTCTTTTGTCAATACTCTTAAGATTTCGAATTCATGCATTCGTGATAACAGCCGACATCGAGAAAATGTATAGGCAAGTAATGATTAATGCAAAAGAGCGATCGTTGCAACGAATATTTTGGCGTAGTAATCCCAACGAGGAATTAGAAATATACGAATTAAACACGGTTACGTATGGTACTGCTTCAGCGCCTTTTCTAGCAATTCGTTGTATCATGGAACTAGCCCTAAATTGTGAAAGAAATAGACCAGAGTTATCTCAAATAATTAAAAGCGACATATACGTAGACGATTTAATTACGGGTGCTGATTCTATTCAAGAAGCAGTGAGTTTAGGCTTGGGTATTTCAAAAATTTTATCTGAAGGGTGCTTTAAATTGCGAAAATGGCACTCAAATAGCGATACGATACTTAAACTAATAAAGGGCGATGTACCTTCGCAGAAAACGGTTCAATTCAGTGAAGATCAAAACACAAAAACATTAGGCCTCGGTTGGTCATGCGATTCTGATTCTTTGACGTTTAAAATTGAACCAAATGCTATAGACGGTCGTGTAACTAAAAGAATGATTCTTTCGGCTGTTGGTCAAATATTTGATCCACTAGGCCTTTTAGCGCCTTGTATTATTAAAACGAAGATTATACTTCAAAGGCTTTGGCTAGAGCGATTAAGTTGGGATGAATCAGTTCCTCAGCCGTTACATGGTGAATGGCTTAAGATCAAATCCGAGATTCCCAAACTTAATTCATTAATTATTCCACGTCATGTAATATTACCAAATGCACAATCAATTCAATTACATGGTTTCTCGGATGCTTCCGAACACGCGTATGGAGCATGCATCTACCTACGTTCTATTACTCGAAATAATCAGGTTTCGGTTAGGCTTCTATGCGCAAAATCTAAAGTAAGTCCGTTGAAAACTATTACGATTCCAAAACTCGAGTTATGCGCAGCTGTTGTTTTAGCCAAATTATTTACAATTGTTAAGGATGCACTTAACAACACAATATTTGAAAGCGTTACCTTATGGACAGATTCCACAATCGTGCTAGGTTGGTTGAAAACGGAACCACACCGATTAAAAACGTTTACCTCTAATAGAGTTGCCGAAGTACAAACTTTAACTAGTTCTTGTGATTGGCGGCATGTTTGCTCAAAGGACAATCCCGCAGATTTAGTGTCGCGCGGTATCAGTCCATATGAGTTGCAAGTATCTAATTTGTGGTGGTCTGGTCCAAGTTGGTTAAACAAATCCGAATGCGATTGGCCTCAAGGAGTAAAGTGTTCAGAGAACTTACCTGAACTAAAGTGTGCCTCAAATACATTATTAATACGTGCGTTGGAACCAGTAGTAGATATACGTCGCTTCTCATCATTGAGCAAGCTAATTAGAACAGTAGCATTTGTTCTAAGATTCATTTCAATTATCTCAAATAAAGATTCTAATTCTAAGCGAACAAATAGTCCTCTTAATACTGAAGAATTAAGAAAGGCGTACAAGCTTCTGCTAAAAATGTCACAAAGCGAGTCATATACAGCAGAGATAAACAAATTATTAAATAAACAAGAAATCAATAATAAAAGCAAAATTCTTAATCTTAATCCTTTTATCGATCAGGAAGGTTTATTAAGAGTTGGTGGTCGTTTAACAAATTCAGATTATTCGTATGACAAGAAACATCCTATTATCGTATCGGCACACCATCCGTTAACAAAATTAATTTTTAAATCAGAACATCTAAAATTGATGCATGCCGGCCCACAACTTTTACTTAGTTCTTTACGTCAGTCCATTTGGCCGGTATCAGGAAGAAATCTTGCTAAATTAACAGTTAGACAGTGTGTGACTTGCTTCAGATTTAATGCGAGGAACACAAATCCTATTATGGGTAATTTGCCGAAAACTCGATTTGATGCTGGTTATCCATTCAAGGTTTGTGGGGTAGATTATGGCGGACCTTTTATTATTAAAAATCGATACGGTAGGGGCAGTAAAACTTCAAAATGTTATATGGCACTGTTTGTATGTTTTGCTGTCAAAGCAGTTCATATTGAGCTAGTTTCTGATCTTTCGACAGATACTTTTTTATTAGCACTAAAACGATTTATTAGCAGACGCGGAAAACCTCAACAAATATATTCTGACAACGGTACTAATTTCGTTGGCGCGAATCACGAATTACAAGCGTTAAGTAAGTTTTTGATTTCAAATCAAAATAAAATTTCGGAGTTGTGCTCATCCGAAAATATAAATTGGCACTTTATTCCAGCACATTCTCCGCATTTCGGTGGCCTCTGGGAGGCAGGAATTAAATCAAGTAAAAATCATTTAAAGCGGGTTGTAGGGAATAATATTCTAACATTCGAAGAATTATCAACAGTGTTTGCACAGATTGAAGCGATTTTAAATTCCCGACCCCTCTCACCACTCTCTTCCGATCCTAACGATGAAAATCCATTAACTCCTGCTCACTTTCTCATCGGCCAACCGTTAATCGCAACACCAGAACCCGACATCACCGAGTTACCTACTGGACGACTTTCTCGTTTTCAACTCCTGGAACAAATGCGACAGAACTTCTGGCGACGATGGTCGAAGGAGTACATATCCGAATTACAGCAGAGGGTTAAATGGAAAAAGACGCAGAGAACTTTGTCACAAGGTTCCATGGTACTCGTGAAGGAGGATAATATCAATCCGTTAAAATGGAGACTGGGTCGTGTTCTGGAGTTACATCCTGGAAAAGATGGAATTTGTCGAGTGGCATCGATCCGAACCGCAAATGGTGTCATTCGTCGAGCTTTTCCAAAGATTTGTCCACTACCAATTCAAGATTGAAAGGAAGTCCTTTCAAGGCCGGGGGCATGTTAGAGACTGCGAACATCGGCAACGCAGCTTTCCAACCCGATGTGCCGAGGTAGCGACTTCAATTCGAGAGGCGAAGAGAGCTTCACCGACCGCCGTGGTGTGAAGACACATTCAATTCACATTGTAAAATTCAAAATAAATAAACCTTATACGAAAGCGTAAATGCGTTTTAATTCGACCAAATGAGAAAATATACAGTCCACTTATTCATATACACTCAGGTTCTTGATGTTCGGCAATTGTACTGCCTAGAGCTACTTAAAAATATTCATAAAGATAAAATACCTCTTAAAGTAAAAGTGTCAAATTATGAAACAAGAAGAAAATTGAATGTTGAATGTCTTCATACTTCAAAAACAATCACGCAACGGTCAATTAAATATTTTGCTCCAAGAATATACAATCAATTGCCCATAAATTTTAAAAATATCAAAAATTTTTTATTTGTATAAAAAATTAGTTAATGCTTGGGTAAAAGAAAAAAGGGAGTTGTGTAACAATTTAATAAATTTAAATTATACTAGATAAAAAAAAACGAAACAAATTAGATTAGATTAGAAACTGTAAAAATGAAATAATAATTTGTAAAAAAAAAACATTAAACTTGTTAATATTAGACAGCTTAAGTCAACAAGCATGTTAATGCTTTAAAGACTTTTTTTTACGTTTATGTTACTGTAAGTAAACTGAAATTGAAATTGTAAATTAATGTAATACTTATGGATTTGAATAAACGTATATTATTATATATATATATATATATTATATACATGTATATATATATATATATATATATATATATATATATATATGTATATATATATATATATATGTGTATATATATATATATATATATATATATATATATATATATATATATATATGTATATAAACATCAGTTCTTAGGTTGCGAACTAAATGAAGAATGGGATAGAAGGACAGAAATAAAACAGCGTATTGAGATAGCTTGAAGTGCTTTTAATAACATGAAAGCAATATTATGCAATGGAAAACTCAACATTGAATTTAGAACTAGAGTAATGAGATCCTACGTGTTCTCTGTCCTGTTGTATGGAGTTGAGGCCTGGACAATTACAGAGGCGACAGAGAAAGGACTCATTAACTTTAAAATGTGGTGTTATCGAAGAATGTGAAAAATATCTTGGACATAACACATAACAAATGCGGAAACGCTACGAAGAATGAAAAAAGATACTCAACACTATAAAGAAAAGAAAAATGAGCTACTTTGGTCACATACTAAGAAACGAGAAATACTAATTGATGTGGCTGGTCATACAAGACAAGGTGGAAGGCAAAAGAGGACCGGGGAGAAGACACACGTCATGGTTGAAGAATCTGAGGCAATGGAGTGGGAAAACGTCAATACAACTTTTCAGAACGGCTGCAGATACAGTCAAATGGGCCATGATGATCGCCAGTGTCCTTAGGGATGTGGCAAAAAACATTATTTTTAAACAAAATTAAGTCTACAATTAATTCTCAAAGATTTGAGTTTTTGGACACTTTCCTGATAGATATTAATAATCAAGAAGAATCGATAGAATTTACCAAGAAATATAATTTAATATCTTATTGTCTCTTCTTCTTCTTCATTCCAGAGTTTAGACATTCATATTGTTAGAGGGCGTCCCATAATTCTAATTCATTTTGGTTTGTTAATTAGTATTTTTTTGTTGATCAATTTAGATATTGTTTCCATTTTGTTCTCTATTATTTTATTTTCTCCTTGATCTTGGACATATTAAGTTCTAATCAACGATTAGAAGACCAAAACTACATAAACCAGAACAATGGAAAGGTGTATATGTACGAGAAGAAGAAGGAAATAGAAAAGAAAGAAATATAAGGGGAAATATGTACAAAATTCTAAAGAGGCATAATGAATAATTGAGGAAAAAATCAAAACAGCTAAGAAAATGTATTTGATGAAGCAATGTAAAGAGATAGAAGAACTAGAAACAAAATATGTTATGAAAAGTATGCACAAAAAATGAGAGAAGTGAGCACTGCTAATAGATGTACCCAAGAAATTAAGAAGATGGAAGGAGTACGTTAAAAAACTTTACCAAGATGAAAGAGGTGGAATGCCAGAAATAGAAGAATTAAATATGCTATTAAAAACTCTTAAGATAATAAGTCAGATAAGATGGATTGATGATGTGGAATATAACGTACAGATTCTAAGGGTCAGAAGATGGAGGGAAGTTGCCAGGAATCGACATGAGTGGCGAGAAGATTTAATTTTATTTTGAACGAACATAACAGACTATGTATTATCTTGGGAACAAATTATAGAGAGTTATCAGAAATCAATATCATTAAAGAATAAACAATATTAAGAAAAAACTGGCTTATGAGAATTTCTTTTCCAATTCAGAAAATATATCAGTTATTATACAGGAAAGTTATAAATTATCACAGAAATAAATTTCAAAATAAAAAAGTCTGAAAAGCGCGATTACATCAAACGATTTCAATAACTACTTTTCGTCAGTAGCTAAACATATTAGAAGTTATAACAATAGCCCTGAAATTAGTATTTCCACCACCAGAGAAAAAACCCAGTACCTTCTACTCGATTACATATACAGGCAAAATAACAACAAAAATTGCCAAACATATAAAAAAGAAAGGAATAACACCAGCTTTCCGAACAAATAACAACCTAGGCAAATATATTAAAAATAACAAGAGCCAAAATAAAAAACACTTAAATAGTGGTGTGTACAAACTTCAATGTGGTGACTGCCCAAAAACTTACATCGGTCAAACTGGTAGAAACTTTGATAAACGAATAACAGAACATAAAAGGGCTTTTAAGAATAGAAAAACAGATTCGACATATGCACTTCACCTTCTAGATCATAATCATTCTTTTAATGACAAATTTAAAATTCTTCACATTCAAAATAAAGGCCTTAAGCTATCTTTGTTAGAATCTATGAAAATCAACAAATTAAAAAACACAGATATAATTCCGAATGACCAACTTGAGACAAACAGTTCTCCCCTCCTCAACCTATTTCATTAGAGACTATAAATTTGTAAACCCAAGCCAAAAATAGATCACTTGAGAAAGGCAATCAGCCGAAACAGCTGTAGTGATAAGATTTTAAATAAATTTTGTGGAAGTTTGAAAACAAAGTTTTCAGTGTTTTATTGTTACATAAAATGAATTTCCATCAAGTAACGGTCGAATCCATCAATTATATTAGAAGTTCTTTTAATTCTACAAATGAAAATGTAGCCATAGATTTTTTGAAAGATGTACACTCTCCTTGCGACTTTTTATTTTTATTACCTGTTAGTTATACTGAAATCAGAAATGTTTGGCATAGATTGAAAAATTCACATTGCACCGATTTGTTAAACAAAAAAATAATTGTGAAAACAATCGATATAATTTTTGACAAATTAATTATACTTTATAATAATTGTTTTACTGAAGGGATTTTCACAGATATAATAAAAGTAACAAAAGTGTTCAAAAAGGGAGCTTTAGATGAAATTATAATTTACCGTCCCATCTCATTTATTCCCATTTTTGTCAAAATTTTTGCGAGTATTTTCGTTTGATAGAATATCTAGATCTAAAAAAAAAGTAATTCACTGTAATCAATGTGGCTCTAGGAAAAAGTGTAGCACTACACTAGCTATACAGAAAATTGTGAGAAATATAGTTGATGGCTTTGGGGAAGGTCATTTTGTGTCTTTGATATTCTGTAACATATCCAAAGCTTTTAAGTGTGTTTCCCATTAATCACGGTTCGAAAAAATGCATAAATACAGTGTTAGGGGAAACACTCTTAATCTATTTAGATCATACCTAACAAATAGAAAACAGGCAGTTTTTCTTAGTACTATTCTGAGTTTAACACTGTCGAATATGGGGTTTCTTAAGGTTCGATATTAGGACCCACTTTGTTTCTTATTTATCTGAACGATTTATTTCACTATACTTTTCCTATAAAATGTGTCTACTTCGTAAATGATACAACTCTCATTAATACTGAAACTAGTCAGCATAATTTAAAAATTAAAATAGATAGTGATACCCAGAAAGCAAAAAAAATGTTTTTTACATAATGGGTTGAAGCTAAATGAAGAGAAAAATAAGAATTTGATTTTCAGTTCCGATTGATTGGAAGTATATCTCAACAAATGGTGTTACTATTAGGAATCTTTCTAGATGATAATTTGGATTGGAGTACTCATACAGACTACTTAAGTTCTAGACTTGCTGCCGTATATTTTTAATACGCAACTTAGTTTATATGATTCCCAAAAGTACCCTTATAATGTGCTCCTTTGTACTATTCCATAGCCATTTACAGTACGGAATAACTATTTGGGGTAATTCTTCTCACACAGATCCAATTTTTAAACTACAAAAAAGACTAACTTATGGTCTTTATCCTAAAAATTTTCTGTGACAAAATTAAAATTTTGCCTAGTTTATATGATCTCAACGTTTCTTAACAGTTGTATCATCTTTTTAGGCAATATTTCGTCACAAAATCTTCTGAAAATGACCATAATTATGATACTTATTCTTTTTCTTCAATGATTTGATTTTAAACTTAAACGATAATAAGTGAAGACTTTTTACTTCATCTGACAAAAAGTTCTAACCAACATCAGTCGAATTTTTTATGCACTTTGTCAAGCTAAAACGTTGTGCTCTAATAGCATGTCTATATCTGATCTGACCATATCGTAATCATGGAAATTATATCAATTCATTTCATTTCCATGACCTTCTTTGTTAAATGCATTTTGCTTCTCAATCAGACCAGGTGAAATTTTTCCCAAAACTTTAGGACCATACGTTAGTGAGGATACTTGCAAGAGCAGAGTATAGAGCACACTGTAAACCTTTATCTTTGGATTTAGGTATTATGCCACTACCTTTACTCTTTATATATGAGACGCTGATTGAAATTCATGCCAATAACGGTAAGTTTAACATAAACTATAACTTCCATGATTACGATATGGTCCGATCAGATGTAGACATGTTATTAGAGCACAACGTTTTAGGTTGACAAAGTGCATAAAAAATTCGACTGATGTTGGTTAGAACTTTTTGCCAGATGAAGTAAAAAGTCTTCACTTATTATCGTTTAAGCTTAAAATCAAATCATTGAAGAAAAAGAATAAGTATCATAATTATGGTCATTTTCAGAAGATTTTGTGACGAAATATTGTCTAAAAAGATGATACAACTGTTAAGAAACGTTGAGATCATAGAAACTAGGCAAAATTTTAATTTTGTCACAGAAAAGTTTTAGAATAAAATATAGAAATCATACATAATTTCTAAAATTGCAAAAGACAACCTTTCTGTTTCAACATCGAAACTGAAAAAATCCATTTTTCCTATAGATATCCTCCAAAATAATTATAATATAGGTTTCTGTCCCAATCTCAAAAGACTCATTTAATAATACCCTTCGAGTTGACTGTTCTGATCACCAGTTGAATTCGCCGCGATCCTGCTCGAAGACAAAGCTCCGCCGCGGAATTACGCAAGTACGAACAAAATCGGTCGCCGGTCCATCGCCTATTACGAAAAATCAACATGTAAAAATCAGCCTGTCACTGTGCACAAGCGAGGCACCTAACAATCAACTGTTTTCTATTCGGAAGCACACCTGCTGGAAGCCCCACTTCGCCGAATACTCGCTGTTATTGGCCGCCGGTGCAGCGATACGCCGTCATTGGTCGTAGGGCACGTGCTGGGCGAGGAGTGGGAAAACCCTTAATAGCAAGCTGTAGCAGTCTTCCTGGTCATAGCTCGAACGGATTTTGTCGTGTTTGTGTTGTAGTTGAACGCTCACGCTCAGTTGAAAGATACGAGAAACGATTGATTTAGTGACTTTAGTTAATTTGTGCTTTATTTTTGGATTATTTTGTTTTTTGTGCTGGATATGCCCGTTATGATGGCTAAGAATTACTCACATTGTCCTTTGAAGAAAAGGCCGATCGTCTTTGACGATATACCTGGTAAGTTAAAAGTTCTACTAAATTTCAAAAATTATAAAACTAGTTACAACTTTTTAAAATACCAAAAACATATTTTGACACTTAAAATTTTAAATTGATGTTTTTTCTACATACTATAAGGTCTTTTGCTTAAATATTTAATTTTGACACTTAAAAATTTAAATTGAGGTTTCTTCCTCATACTTACTATGGGTTCTTTTGCTTAAATATTTTTTAAAAGTTTTTCTTCATAATTTAAAATTAATTTTTATTTTCCATATTTTTGATATTATTGAAATTTCTATGAATGTTCACGTACAGTTTTTCTTTTCTTAACTTTTCGTCTTTGGACATTTTGAAGTCAATGCGAATTCATTTATTTGTACATTTAACTCAATATTTTTGTAAATAAAATAATTTTAGTTTGTTAGAAACTTAAACCAAAACCAAAATATATTAGAAATGACTGAATTATAAAAAAAGTACTACTCTTCGCTTTAAAAAAATGTGTATGAAATTATCTCAAATTATATCTTGACATTAGTGAAATTTTCAATGTTACTGTTTATATTTATAAAAAAAAAAGAATTTGTTCAAATGAACTTTAACCCGCAGATTATTTGTTATTTTTCGGAAATTTGTTTTTCTTGTTTTTATTAAAAATTAACTTAACACATGTACTTAACAGAAAAATAATTGTTCAACTATTGAGCTTTTAGCTTTCAAAGTAATAAAAAGAATAAAATTAATAAACATTTTTCTATATTTTATTTGAAATTTTTTTAGTAAATATTGAAAAACAACTACGATAAAATAAAAATCGAAATAAATGGGGAAAAATAATTTATTAATTAATATAATATGATTAAAAGGTATATTATTAAATAATATAAAAAAGAAAACAAAAAATAAGATGAAAAAAGTTTTAAAAAAATATTTTAAATTCACTTAGTATAAATGTGTGCATTGCATTTCTATATTATGAATTAAAAATTGGTTAGTTTGATTTAATTTCTTATTATTTTAAATTCAATACATAATAAATAAAAAAAAATTACCTATATAATAAAAATAATCACAAATACATTTTATCTTTCTAATAATATACTTCTAAATATTTTTCCATATTGCACTGTTTTCTTACCAAACTTTTCTCTTTGTTGCAGAAGAACCTGAGAACCTTTCTACAAAACCAGAAGATCTAAGCCGGACAGGTCGTCTAGCTTCAGTATCTCCTCCATCATCACCCACTTTATCAGCATCAGCTTCTCCACCATCGTCAGTACCAGATTCTCCACCTTCATCACCACCAATGTCATCCCCATCGCCGACGCACTTTATGTACCAACCACCGATTAAGGTAGAACCGCTGAGGGAGTACCCTGTGCCAATTAGTCCCGAATACGCACCTCAAACCTGGCATAGAAGTGTGGCACCTATGTACCATCCAGCCTACCATCCGTACATGTATCCATACCACGAGAATATGTATATGGGACCAGCTTCTCCCTACAGTGATAGCTCTTTGTCGCCTCCACACCAGATGCAGCAACCGCTCCAGCCACTTGCCTTGAGACCCACCGTTTATTCATCGATGGACCAGAACAGTTTAAGTCCAAATAGTTCTACGACGTCACCTCCACCTCAAACAGTACCTTCCGCTGAAGATTTATCAGAAAAACGAAGAGCTGGCGTGAGGCATCAATGTCCCGATTGTGGAAAAAGCTACTCTACCTTCTCTGGTTTATCGAAACACAGACAGTTCCACTGTGCAGCTGGAGATGGCCCCAAAAAGTCGTTCAGCTGTAAATACTGTGAAAAAGTATACGTGTCCTTAGGAGCTTTAAAAATGCACATCAGAACACACACCTTACCATGCAAATGCACCATCTGTGGCAAAGCTTTCTCCAGGCCATGGTTGCTACAAGGCCACATCAGGACACACACTGGAGAAAAACCTTTCTCCTGTACATACTGCAACAGAGCCTTCGCCGACAGGTCCAATCTCAGGGCTCACTTGCAGACCCACTCAGACATCAAGAAATATTCCTGTAATACCTGCAGCAAGACCTTTTCCAGGATGTCGCTGCTAACCAAACACACAGAGGGCGGCTGTACCCTCATGCACTTGGAAAAGATGTGTTGAAACTGTTTTCGTTACAAATTTTTTAAACATTCCTTACAGTATTGTGGGTGCCTTTTGAAAAAAGACTGATTTTTGATCTTCACGGTGTACAAATTCGAATTATTAGTATTACGGGAATCTAATATATTATTTTTTGTATATACTTTTGTGAAAAGATATTTTTCTAGTCAAAAGGAGTGTTCTAACTTCTTTATGTTATATTGCCATTGTATAGTGCCTTAATTTTAGTCTTTTTGAACCTATACAGATTTTATTATATTAAATAAACAAGTTATTTATGATATTTTTGCCTTTTAATTTTTAATTTTCCTTGATTCTACGTATACCTATGTAAAAATGAGTTAATATCTATTTATGACGAAAAATTTATAGATTATGACTTTTCCTACATGTAGGAAAACCCATCGACTTGGTTTATATCAAATATTTGCGGAAATAAAGATACATTGATGATGTTTTAAAACAGGTAATTAAAGACGTTTATGTATATTATAATTTTGTTCAATTTGCAATAAAAACTTGAATAATTACTAAGATATGAGATATTTTTATTCTATAAAATAAATTAGCGAATTGGTTTAATATTAGTTCTGATTTTACTTTATATATAAACTATAGATTTCAATTCATTTTAAAAATGTAGGTCCAATTTTACTCCAGTTTAAAGGCAAGTCTACACTAGCTGCACTTTTTTAAATTTATCATGACAAAGAGAAAATTCAGAAAATATTTATAAGTCTAATTAATATAATTTGCAAAATAAACAATATAGCAGATTGCAATTATAACACCAAGATTACTATAAGATTGTAATTAAATCATTTAAATAGATAAAAAAATATCTTTATTAGATAGAAAATACATCAGTTAAAAATTCTGGCTCTGATTGACTCCACTTCAACCTTATATCAATAGGCAATTACTGATCTTAGTTGTAATGGTAATGTTAAACAATAAGATTACATTACTACATATTTTGACTATAGTATTTTAGTTTCTATAGGTCTAAACAATTATTTTTCTTCAGTTGACTGGAATACAATTTTTAATGTTTCAAATATTATCTCAGTAAATAAATTCTATGAAGTAGTGTCTATTTTCAGATTTAGAACACAATGCAAACTTTATGAGATCAATGTTACAGATCTTATATCTCCAAAATTGAAGAATCAGGTACACGAAAACTCATCACCAATTTCCATAAATACCCTCGTATGAGGGTATATATCGTATTATACATAGTACAAACTCATTATTCCCATAAAAGTAAGGATTTTCAAATAGACCAGGAGAGATTGGTAATCCCATCACTGGCCTATCTGCATCCCGTGGCAGGTATAGACCATAAACCCCTTACAAACCACTAAGATTTGGTAATATAATATTAAATGCAAATATAATTTATTGGTTTTTATTTGGGAATTCTGCAAAATTCTATTGATTCCTTGTTCCTTTAACATGGATACTGAACTGCTCATTACGTTTTGATGCAACGCGGACGAAAAATCATAGATAATAATAATTTCAAATTGCAGTTGCAAAAGACTTTAAAATCGAGTGTTTTGAAATACTCATACTCAAAAAATATGCAAAGAACTTAAAAACCCGTTAACAAATAATTAATTACATTTAGTTTGCAAATTTTACTATAATGGTTTAAGATGTTAAAGTTACCGTTGGATTAGGTAACATGGCGACATATGACTACACGTTGAAGTTGCTAGTCTTGAGACAGTCTGTCTACGAAGACTGTATGGGAGCAACTGAATGGCAATGACAATGTTGTTTAGTTATGACGGAAGTTGTAACAGAGCAGTCAATATAACTGTATATTTCTACTTAAGACAAAAGCCACCGTTATTTGAAATTGTGAAAATAAAATAAATTAATATAACAGTATCAACCATCAATGTTGTTATTTTAAATTTATGTGTATGACATGGGATGTGGAAAGAAAAATTATGTGGTTGTAGGTAGGCAACCAACTATACATGTGTGTAGTGCAAACAGTTTTAAGTATAAGGCCCTTTATGTTTCTCAAACATTTGGTACCCAGGAAACAGAAACTGGACACATGTGGGAGGTTGACTTCTAAAAATTTTATTGATAATGGTTAGATATGAATGTATTTATTTAAAATTGAAAGTGTTCTTGAATGAATAAAATAAAATTTTTTAGTATAATGCTCACCTGATATTAACTTATAACTCAATTATAGAAGCCCTGTATGTCAAAAAAATAACATTTGATACCTGGTAAATGTGAAACTTTTAAGTTATAAGTGCATGAACATAAATGTCTGAATATATGGTAACAGACTAAATGGTGTGAAAGTTTTATTGTATTAACTATTATATGAAATGAACAAAAATATTTTTATTTGATGGTTGGAACATGGTCATGTAATATGTTGATAGTATAGTAATCTACTTATAACTTAGGGAAGGTCCTATCTGTCATAAAGCAAAACTAGGTACATGAACATTATAAAAGGATAAGTTATAAGTTGAATTAGTTGTAGGTGTAAATTGACTTTAATTGTGCTGATGGAATGATTGGCTCTGTTGAAATTAAGTAGAACGAGAAAATTTTTATTGTGTCATCTTTACTGATGACTAAGTTGTGTAGTTTAATTTTATTCATAATGGATATGAGGGTCTTGAGGTGTTCGTTGAACTATTATATGAGAAAAACAAAGTTTGATGGTTGGAGCATGGTTTTGTAGTATGTTGGTCTTATACTACTCAAATTATAACTTAAATAAGCCCTATCTGTCATAAAGCAACACTAGGTACATGAGAAAAATTAAAAGGATAAGTTATAATTTGAATGATAAAGGTGTGTATACTGACCCTAACTTTAAAATTGAAAAGGTTGTTGATAGCTATATTCAAATTAAGTAAAAAAAAATTATGGTGTTTGTTGGGAGTATAGTGATATATGGGACGACTGCAGAAAGCTGAGATCACCAAAGATCCGCTACCAAACTCTAAAGGAAATGTATGGAAGTATAAAAAGATGACTGAAGTGTTTGTTAGAAGGGGATGTTGAATAGTCTAGAATTTGGAGGGTGGCCGACTAGAAGCCTGGGCAATATTAGATATATATGGTTGGACTTGAAGTTTGGTTTAAATGGAGAGAAGAGGGGAGAGATGAAGAGTATGTTGTGTTGAAATAAAAGTTTTGGAGTGGACTAAAATTTGATGGTTAAGACATGGTTTTATAGTGTGTTGATCGTATAGTACTCAACTTATAACTTGAAAAAGCCCTACCGGTCATAAAGCAACACTATGTACAAAAAAAATATTAAAGTATAAGTTATAAGTTTAAATAGTTGAAGGTGTATACTGATCTTATTGGAAAATTGAAATGAAAATAAGTGAGGTGAACAAGTAATGATGAATGTGAATTTTAGTTGAAGGGTAAATTATGGGTGAAGACTATGAGAATAGTTGGCGATGGAGAGGGAGGAAGTCTCGATTGAAAGATACATGACGATTGACACAATTTGGGCTTTTTTGTTTTTCTTTTAGGATTTTGAGATCTTCATATAAATCTAATTTAAGGAAATTTTTTTGGGGGATATTGAGGATAAGTGAAACGTCTTCTGGGATATTGAGGGTGTGGTTATGTTCTTGAGATGTTGGGAGAAAGAATTTTAAACCTACGTTCTTTTTAATTAAGTGGTTAAATATTTTCTAGGACACTGATGATGGAATATGGATTCCGAAAACGTTTTGTCTTTTTAACTTAGCCCGTTTGGGTTCTTAATATATACCTTTTACAAAGGATTTTTAATAAATTTTTTAATATATGGTATACAGCCAACTACAGGAACGTAGATTCCTTGTGGATAATTAAAGAAGTTATCCAGTTATCTGAAAATGACCAGTACGTGTTTACATTTTTGTAATTATTGTCTCTCAATTAATTCGTTGCTCGAAGAAGTTGGTGTCGTTTCAAGTCATTCAAGACTTGTGGCTGATTTTGAAAGTTTGATTTACAAGGCCGTCATTGCCGTTCGGTCATCTGCGAAGCGAATTAGGTGTTTATTTCACTTGACTCGAAAGATGGTTTAGCAAAATCCAAAAACTTTGTTTGGTAACCACTTACAAGAGGGGAGATACCAACGACAAGTGGCTGCACCACTTAATCTGCTGCCTTTATTTTGAAAGTGGTCGATTATATTGCAGAGAGCTACATAAGTAATGAGACTCTTTCCCTCTAACTGTTTGGGCATCTCAGTCTAGCCATATATATTTCACGACAAATCCATGCAAATCTTTTCATTCCCATTTTTCGAATTGTTTTTACCATTCTCTTCCCAACATCCTCACTGTTGTATCTACGCTTCTACAGTACTAAACAATGGTGTACATAAAACTACAGAGTTTACATGTATAACATTTTACATGTTATACATGTCTCTACTAGAAGGTCAAGCAGGCTGAAGACGTCTTACGTGAAAAGATAGAAGAACTAAGTAGGAATGAAATGTTCGATTACCAATTTGTAAAATTTGTGTCACACAGATATCATAAAAACTTGTAAAAGTAAATTATACTACAAATAAATGATTCTTTTTTAAAAATTCTACGCTTATTATGAAATTCAGAACCCATTTTTTTTTCAAATTCTCACCTTAAAAATTTAGTTTTTATTGGTCCTGGTAGGTACATACATCAAATTTTTATAGTTTTCTTCATTTTCATATTGGCGAACAATTCAAATTCAGTCCATGTTTCAAGTTGTTAAGGCATTTTAATTTTTAAATTTTGTTACTATTTTCATAGGATAATGTATCATCAAGTAGGCTTTGAACGTTTATAGCCAAGAAACCATCGAACAAAAAGACAAAAGGGGGAATGTAAAGGTAGTGGGGACAAAAATATTGCTAGACAGGTAGTGCCAGTTTGAGAGGCCACTTTAAACAAGGAAAGGCAGTCTCTTTCCTTGTTTTAGAAATCAAATTTAGTTTGGTTATGTCATTCTTTGTCCCAACTGTCACATGAAATTCTAATTATATTGAAGTTTTTTACCATTTGTGTAACATTTTAGACTATTATAGTTAATATTTAATTAAAACTTTCTCGTCTGAAAAATATTTTATAGCTATTGTTAATAAGTGTCGAAAAATTTAAATTTAGCGCCTGTGCATTTCCGGATATGTCCGCCATCAGAGGCCACTTTTTTGGTCTCCTTTTCATAACGATTAGATTCCCTCTTTTGTCTGTTTGCTCGATGCAAGAAACTGTACTTTTAAGCATTTTG